AAACAACATTTAGAAGGAAAAGTTTTTAAGTATTTGTAGTTTTAAATTTTCCTTTCATAACAATGTAGAATTTCTTCTAGAGAAATTAATTTTACTATCCAAGACATCACTCTGGTTTCACAAACTTTTCAGCAATCAAGGTAAATGGTGCCTGCTCAGTCAATCCTTTTTACTTCTTGCCAGTGAGAAAGGAAGATGGTTTACCTTACCAGCCCTGCAGCCCTGGGTGACTTACTTAACCACGTTTTCTGGCTGTGTAAGTGGGGACAATAGTCGTTGTGTGTCAATATTAAATGAGGTAATATGGTATTTAGCACAGTACATGCCTCACACATTACTGTGTATATAAAAGTTTAAGCCATTGTTTTATATTTGTTTTTTTTTCCTAATTTATTTTACTTTCTGGGCCAAAGACAGAACATACAGTGACAGGGACAAGGATTGACAATGTTTCAGATTATGATCCCATAATTTCCAGCATATAAACTTGCTTGCACTAGAAAAAGAAGAGATGAGAGATACTTCTAGAATGTTCTGTGGCTCTGTCTCCAGTTTTAACATCTTGTTAAGGACTAAAAGGATTTCAGTGGAGACCCACAGGCTTGGGCTCAACCGTGGCTCCAATATAACTACAATGTTCTTTCCTATATGCTTCAAGGACCTCTCTAGAAGGTTTTGTCCTGATTTGTCCCTCTCCAAAGAGGGCCACTTGTGTCTCTTTTTAAAAGAAGAACAGGGATGCTATTTTGTCCCTGGCTTGTCTGAGTTGTGCATTTATCTGTGTCTGCCCCTCCCATCTGAAAGATTCTGGCTTCCTTGGGGAACCAGACATACTAAAGCTCCCACAAGCCAGAGAGCTGGCAAGAGCGAGCCTTATCTTGAGTTCCATCTCACTCTGCATCCCTGCTCAGGAGGTTCTGTCCTTAGACTGACTACAGATTTCTGCGTCTCTCCTCAGGGTCACAGTTCTACCCAGTGCTCACCGTTAGCTCTCCTCTGCGCCTGGCTCTCTTCCATTATCACCTGAGGTGCTTTGTCTGCTCTCCTTTGCACTTGTTTCTGAGCTTCTGGAACTGACTTGGGTCATTCTTGGCAAGAAATGAGTGATAATTTGTTACTTAAATGACTCTGTCAAATGATTAAGATGATTTTTTAAAATGGAAATATTGAAAAGACTTCCGCCTGACTCTGTCTGAAGCCATAAGAAACAACAATCGGCTATTGAAGACACTACCTCTAGGCAGGCTAATGACTGATCTATTCGCTCATTTACGCATGCATTCATTCATCCAATGTTTATTAAGCATCCATGTGCCAGGTGCTTTCAGGTGCACAGAATACCAAAACAAATCACGCATCTCCCCTTAAAAAGTAGGGAAGACAATGAGGTACACGCTGCCATATGGGAAGAGAGAGTCAGTGCAAAGAGCTTCAAGGAGACTAAGTGCTATCTCTTGCCCTGGCACCTTGTGTGGAGAGTGAGATGCAGAGATGTAGATAGGAAGGATTCCAGGTGTAGCCCTGCTTCCTTACTTCTGGATCCTAAAACAACCTCTGTTAGGTTTGAGTGTGTGTCCCAAAGTGTTGGAACTCTAACTCTTCAACATGGCAGTGTTGGGAGATGTCTAGGGGCCTTTCTCACATGAGGGTTCACTCACATGGGAGTGGATTAGTTACCACAAGAGCAGGTTGTTGTTAAAGGAGGTCACCTCCTCATGTCCTCCCTCTGACATACATGCTGAGCAAAGCACCATGCTTTTGGATTTCCCAGCTTCTAGAACCATAAGCCAAAAAAAAGCTCTTTCCTTTATAAATTACCCAGCCTCAGCTATTCTCTTGTAGCAACAGACAATAGACTGTGACAACCTCTAACATAAACTCTGTGATAACTTCAACTCAATTATTGGGTACACATCATTATCTGTGGGGTGAGAAAGCAAAGAGAAATAGTCTCAAATTTCTGTCAGGAAAGGAGAGAAAGATGTTCAGAAAATATATCCAAGTTGCAGCTGTTCCAAGGACACAATATTAATCCTCTTTGAAAAACAGGAGTCCCTTTGATGCTTACTGTTGCACACAATACCCAGGGTCTTCATTTGCACACATTCCAGACACTGGGTTAGGCTTTCTGGAAGTCTGGAGTGGTATTAGAGGTAACTGCCAGCTCAGGGGTAGGATAAATGTTTGCCAGTGTCTAAAGTCAGCCCAGGCAGCTATGTCCTTAACAGAAGGCCATCTGGCCAAGGGGTGGCACTCACTCCCTGGAATCAGAAGTGCCAGGATTTGAAATTTGCCTCTGCCACCAACAGGCTGTGTCACTTTGAGGAAGTTCATCCATCTAGAGCTCGGTTTCCTAGTCTATGACATAGGGGTAATAATAGTCCCTATCTCTGTGCTTACCATATAGCAGAGTAAAATGGTAGCTGGTATATTTATTGTGATAAAGGAAGGTGAAAGTCATAGGTGAGCAGCACAGTTCAGGTAAAAGGCACTCATTTGAACATGGGTGATGATTTATTTACAATTCGTCACTCTGACACCCTTTTTCTTCCTCTTCAAGGCCATTTCCTTCTTCCCTCTTATGTGCCACACTCTCTGAGTGTCCCTTTGGGGGCCTAATTTGCACTCCATCTGTCCCTTCGGCTCACACCTGTCCTCTGGCAGTGCCTTCTGGGACTAATACCCTTCAACCACTGAAGTGTTCGAGGTTTGCTGTGACCTGTGCTCTGCTCCAAGCTCTGTGAACACTGACTACAAAGGAGTGTTCTTGATTCTTTAAAGAATGAATTTTACTGGATTGCCAGCTCCAAGTGGGTGGGCCAGAGGCCAGCTAGGCTCTGTGGTCAGCAGGTCTGACTCAGTTTGTTCTTCCTTTATGACAAGTGAAGGAGAGGGCTGGCAAAGTGGTAGAGCACCTGCGTAGCAATTGTGAGATCCTGAGTTCAAACCCTGGTTACCCCCTGCTCCCCCCACCAAAAAAAGTGAAGGAGGATAAGCACAGTACTAGGAGCTCTGTTCTGGGCATGTTGCCTAACTGCCTCAGTTTCCTGTCCTGTAAAATGCACAACAAGTTACTCTGGTTAAGACCTTGATGATTCTATGAAGAGTCTGTTTGCTGACATTCATAACTTCATGTGCCTGTTGATGTCTGTGCACAGGAGTCAAATGAGCAAGTCTAAGGGTCTTGGCTGCAATGGGTCCATTTGAGTAAGGCATGTTTATCTGCTTCTGAAATGTCCTGACTTCCTATGGAAAATGGCTTTACAAGGCTTGACTTGAATAGACTTGATACATCTCACACCACTGACGTGCATCAAAAACACAGCCATCTTTGGGGGACTGTGTCAGCTCAGGATCCCTGTATATGAACTAGACTTTAAAGAAATTATATTTCACAAACATCTCCCTTATTACATTGCTTCTTTCCCTGGCTAATCTTAGACACCTACTGCTTCTCACAGTGGCTCTTTGAGGGTGAAACTGATAACCATTTTGAAGGCCCCAGGAGCCAAGCGATATGCTGTTGATTATAAAGAAACCTCCAGGAGCTGCCTCTTGTGGCTCTTCAGGCTACACATGTACCAGCCAGCAGTTCTCTTGCAGGGAGGTCTTATTAATCAATCAGCCTCATCTTCACCTGAGTACCCAGTATGGCGACCAGCAATTCCTGATTTGCCTGAGAAGTTCCTGGTTTAGGCACTGAAAGGTCCATGTCTCATGGACCCCCTTCATCCTTGGTAAACCAGAAGAGTTGGTCACCCAAATTCCCAAAGTTTGGAAAGTTCAGTGAGTACAAGAATCAACATGCGTGATTATTAAAAGTGCAGATTTCTGGGTTGGGTGATTGTGGGTCAAATGTTTCCCTAGCCACATTAAGAAATACTTGTAAGAACCTGTTACAAAGTTTAGCATTTGGCTACCAGTCATCTGTGTGTTAGAATCAGCTGGGGAGCTTTTCAAAAGTACCGATGCCGGAACTTTACCCCAGATCAATTACATCAGAACCTCTTGGGGGATGGGTCAGGGAATTGGGATTATATTTTTAGACGAGATCGGGCGCGTTCAGGGTGGTATGGCCATGGACGGGATTATATTTTTAAAGTCCTTTCTACCACCAGTAGACAGAGTAGACTCGGTGATCATTATTTATCATTGGCTCCCCAGTGTTAAAGACCTGAGTTCCCACTGGTTTCAACCCCTACAATTTCCACCCTTTCTTCTCCTAATATGGTACAACAAAAACAATTTAGAGTACAAGATGGCATCATCCACCAAAATTGAAAGTGATATCACTTTTAGGTAGAGAACCTAAAGAAACTCTTGGATGAGTACATAAAGAGGTAGGAGCAAGAATGTTAACTGTACCTTTGATTGCAATATCAAAATTCTGGAAGTGATGGCAGAGAAGGTGAACAAAGTGTGGTGATATAGCCACATGCTACAACACTGCAGCGAAGGTGCATAAATCAAAGTTGCACATGCAACATTAGAACAAAGTGACCGTAAGTAAGATTCTTCTAAAGTTAGAGGCTGCTGTGACTATTTCCTGGGTGTGTACTAATACTTGTGGTAACAATAAAATTGGGTGCACAGCCCACTTTTTGCCTGTTTTGAGAAAACTTCCATACAATATATGGAGAAATTCCATATACAGAGAAATTCCAGATGTAATTTCTCATATACAGAGAATTCCGTATACAGAGAAATTCCAGATGGGAGTCTCATGAACTATTTTCCTTGGCTAGCCTGTCATATCTTCAGATAGCTGCACTGCAACACAGAAGTGGGATGGACTGAAGTCATTCTAGTAGAGGCTCCTGAGTTGCTTTTAAGTTGTTGTGAGGTTGGACCCTGCATTCTCATCCATCATCCACACAGAGCAGTAAACCTATTAGCAATGCAGATGTGCCCATGAAACCAGGATTTCAAGGCTGTTAATCTTATTTGGCTTTTCTAGGTTGCTGACAAATGCTTATTTTTAAACAGGGCCAGGAGCTTACCTGGTCCTAGCTTGGCCACGGCATAGAGGAGGTCATAGTTGAGGACAGGCGTGGCGTCACTGATGGGTTGCCAGCCGACGGGAGGAGACGAAGGGGGTGAGATGAGAAACTGTTTGGCTGGCTGAGGGGGAGCCAAATGCAGTTTGTCTCCATCTGTCTCGGGCGTCTGAACCTTTCAAACAGAGTGGAGATGTGACACGTTATTCACGATGTGCTGTGCTGGTACACTGAGATACAGGGATTTCACCATCAGCCTGTGACCAAAGAACCTGAACTTAATGATTACTGTGCACTACGTGCCATGTGCTCGGGTACCTGACCCAGTCCTAAAACAGTGGATCTTTGAGGTGAACTGGTGTTACGTGGAAGGTTCAGGAAAATAGATTGCTAAGCCTCACACCCAAACACTTCTGATTGATGCAGGGTATCTGGTGGGGATGAAGAAGCTAAGATTTTGCATTTCGGACAAGATCTCAGGTTCTCAGGTCCAATCTTAACCCTAACCCTGCCAAATTTAGCCAAATTAACCAGTCTTTCCTTGCTTTTCTCCCTTCATTCTTATTTAGGAAAGTTTATATAACATAAAATCAACCATTTTTAAGTCAACAATTCAGGGTCATTTAGTTGGTAACCAGGCTGCTTTTTTTTACATTGTCAGGTTACTTTCTGATCTATGGACTTACTATTCTGGATATTTTCACATAAATGGAGTCACAGAACGTGACCTCTTGTATCCTTTCACTTACTATGTTTTCAAGGATCATCGTGTTGTAGCGTGTACCGGTATTTTATTTATTTTTATGGCTAAATAATACTCCACTGTGTGGATAAACTTCAAGCTCTCTGTTGATGGACATTTGGATTGTTTGCATTTTTCTGCTGTGATCCTTCATGTACATGCATTTGTTTGAGTCCCTGTTTTAAGTCCATAGAATTTAAATCTGTAGGATTGTTGAGTCACATACTAACTCAGTATTACTCTTTGTTTATTTTAGGCAGTTTTGGAGGTCAAACTCATAGCCTTGAGCTTGCTAGGCAGGTGCTCAAACACTTGAGCCATGCACCCAACTCTTATTGCTTTAGTTGTTGTTATTATTATTATTTTAGTGGGGCTGGAGTTTGAAACCAGGGCTTCACAGTTACAAGGTAAGCTTGAGCCACACCTCCAGTCCATTTTGCCCTGGTTATTTTGGAGATGGGGGTCTCATGAACTTTTTGCCTGGGCTGGCCTTGAACCATGATCTTCCCAATCTCAATTTCCCAAGTAGCTAAGATTATAGGCATGAGCCACTGGTGCCCAGCTGCTTTGGCTATTTGGGATATCCTGAACTTTTTTTTGACCAGGCTGGTCTTGAACCATAATCTTCCCATCTGCTGAGTGGCTAGGATTACCGGTGTGAGTCATGACATCAAGCCCTCAATATTATCTTTTTAAGGAACTGAGTGTTTTGTTTTGAGACAGGGACTCAGTATGCAACAGAGGCTGGCCTCAAACTCAAGATTCTTCTGCTTTATAGTTCTGGAGGCTAGGATTACAGGTGTGTACCACCACACCTGGCCCCCAACTGAGGTTTTAATAGATGAGAATCTGAGGCCACACAAATTCAGAGGGGTAGTGGCATTTGAATATGAGCATGAGCCTACCAGCTCTAAAGAGTCCAAAGGTGAAAACAATATTTACAGATCACCTCAGAGCAGGACAATATCCAGTGCTGAGGGAGCACTGTGGATACTGATTTCCCTTTGCTGTGAACTCATGAGCCAAGGACAACCCATGCCTTTTTTGGAATAGCCAGAATTTATTTTCATATGAATCAAAACACAAAATCAATTTCCTTGTATTTACAATCATCTGACAAGAATCTGAATCATTACAAAGGCCACATAGACCACTAAAACTATCATACAAGTTTATTTATAACTTTGACAGGAAGGTTAGGAATAGTTGGGGTTAGATCATTTTTATTGCAACTACTAACTGGCATTGATTGGGCATTTATCAAATACTAGGCACCTTGTCCCCCCAAAGTTCATTTCATCCTCTTGACACCTGTGCAGTGTGTATATAGTTGTCACTCCATTTTACAGATGAGGAAACTGAGTCCCAGTGAGCTTCTATTCTATGACTTGTCCCCATTAGAACTGAGGCTGGCAGCTCTCAGAGTCTGCTTTCTAATCCACTAAGCTGCCCCTGCCAGGGAGTCATGGTTTGGGTCTCTTTCTTAGTGAACTAACTGTAGATTATAAACCAAACTTAGGGTACAAAAGGCTCTGTTTATATATTTATTTATTTTTTATTGTTATGCATTTACAAAAGTTCTTACGTTCTTACAACGTATCAAATTTATCGGATTTGAATGCACCCCCTCCACCATTGTCCTTCATCTCTCCTACCCCCATTACAGAGATAGTCTCAGTAGGTATCATTTTTCCATTTACATATATGTGTGCACAGTTTTTGCACTATATTCACCCTCCTTCTCCCTTTCCCCATCTCTTCTCCCCTCCCACTGGTACCATTCCCACCCCCAGCAGGATCTGCTCTGTTCTCCTGTTCTCCAATTTTGTATAAGAAAAAATGAAGAAGAAAAATAATGACATTTTTGCCTTTTTTCTTTTTTTTGCAGTGCTGGGGCTTGAACTCAGGGCCTTCACCTTCAGCCACTCCACCAGCCCTTTTTTTGTGATGGGTTTTTTTGAGATGGATCTCATGAACTTATCTGCCCAGGCTGGCTTTGAACTGCAATCCTCCTGATCTCTGCCTCCTGAGTAGCTAGGATTACAGGTAGGAGCCACCGGTGCCTGGCTTTTGCTTATTTAAGATAACTACACAGGGAGTTTCCTTGTGGCACTTCTACGTATATATGTATTATAACCTGAATTGGTTCAGCTCCTCTATTTTTCTTCTTTCTACCTTAGTCCCTTTCTTGTGGTGGTTTCAACTGGTTTAAAAATTCTCTATTCATTCTTGTACATAGAGTTCTGTTTATGTTTTTTAAAAAGGCAAAAAAGAAATGTAAGGTAAAAGGATTAACTCTGGTGAAGAATTACCTTACCTGTGCAAAGTAAAGTTTTAATTTCTTCCCTCGGAACTGGGTTTCGTGGAGCTCTATCCTGGCTCGGGCAGCAGATTTAGGATTGCTGAAGTTTATCCGAACACGTCGGAAACTCTTAAATAGCTGGAACGTCACACAGTCATCGTAAGTCCGGAACAGCCCCTCAAACTTTTCCTGATAAAAACAAACACAGAGGGAAATCCATGAGTCATGTAATGTACTATATGGGCTATTTATAACATGAAGTTAAGCTAGAACCCCAGCAATGTATTTTTTAAAATCCATTTGTCTGTTGCCAGACATAATCACGCCTGTGGAGTCAGGTGAAGGATTCAAAACCTGGGTTCAGAAATCCACACAGACTAGTGGGTAGGGCTCAAGGTGCAGGAAAAATGTGTACCCCTGTAATTCTAGCTACTCAGGAGGCAGAGGTCAGGAGGATCATGGTTTCAGGCCAGTCCTGGCAAAAAGCAAGACCCTATCTCAAAAATATTCAAGGAAGAAACGGCTGGCAGAGTGGTTCGTGTGGTAGAGCACCTGCCTAGCAAGCATGAGGCTCTGAGTTCAAACCCCAGTGCCACCAAGAAAAATAATAGTAATGTGCACGATGTCAAGTGTTTGGTGTATATTTGTTTTTTCTCCCCCATGGAGAACTGTGGCTGTTATCAGTTTCTCAAAGGAATTCATTATCTCTAAAATGTTAGATGTACTGAGGAAAGTATGTGGGAAATTATTCATGGTCATCAATCTTGGCAAAATTTTTCTTCTCTAAAAATATGGGATTCTCACCCCACCCAACACTCAGGCAATACCATGTGACGAGTCCTGGTGAGTGAAATATGTTCACAGGCAGCAAAATACCTGGGAGTAATTTTTAGCATCTTTCCCTGAAGAGGACATGTGTTTCAGATGAGGAAACTGAGCTTTGGCCAAGGCACAGTTGTCAGAAATAGTATTCCCCTCACTCTGGGTCCCTGAGGGTTTGTGTTGTGGAACAAAAATAGCTTTTTCCCTCCCAGCACCTCATTCTCTAGCCAATTTTGCCTTGGCAAGGAAGCTAAAACTCTCTATTGCATTAAATCACTGAGATTTTGAGATTATGTCATTCTTTCGGCATAGGCAAGCCTGTCACAATACAAAGCAATAATTTAGGGATTTCAATTCAATACACAATTTCAATTTATCTGAAAAAGTTTCTAATTTAATAGAACCACTTGGTACAAGGCACAGTCTCCTGGTAGGCTTCAGGAAGATACAGAGGTAAGGATCGCATTGCTCTGAACCTCATATAATAATTTAAAATGAGAGGCAGACACAGACACAAACAGGAGAGCACCCAGAAGTCAGAGGAAAGGCATAAAAGGGAAAACAGAAAAGTAAAATATATGTGTATACATATATATATATGTAAATGCCACCTGTTCCTTTTACCCTGAAAAATTCCTTATTATAAGAAAATCAATGTGTCTTAAGCTACTGTGCACTCTTAATGGAGAAACTGACCTCAAGGAAATAACTTCTAGGATAAACAATAAAAGTCTGATTCTTTCATTTCAACAGAAAAGGGTATTTTGTCATAAGGGTGAACGCAGTGGGAGGGAGATGCATGGACTTCAGTGCTGCGAGACACATAGAATTTTAACTTAAAGTTGGCCTAACTGACAATGAACTTAACCTTTCTCACCTCAGCTGCATCATTTTATAAATTGTGATCCTGAGGTTTGAAGAGATAGGGACCTACCTAGGGGCACATGGTCAGTGACACAGCCATGAGCATTCCCAAGTCCTGTAACCCTAACGTCAAAGATGTGTTCACCCACAAAAAGAATTACACTGGGAGATTACAGAAAGAGATGGTTGCATGAATAAAAGCAAGAGATGTATAGCCATAAGCTGATCCACAGCTAGAGTGGGATCACACCTGAAAGAACCAATGTGGTGGCAGGGTTGTGTGCATGCCTGACTTGAGGCTGCACAGGAAGAATGCTTCAGGTGTCTGGGATGGGTTTCCAGCCTCTCAGGAATCTTAATCAACCTGTCTTAGGCTTCCACATCCACACCTGTGATCCTTTCAAACCCTGCTGCCAAGTCCTGAGAACCAGTCCCCTCCTGTCCCCCCAGGCCATGGCCTTCCATTGTTCCTCCTATTTTTAATTCCTACTCTCTTAAATCAATATGCCAATGCAGATCAAAGAATATATTCAAGACTTTTGCTTTGTTTCTTAATTGAGAGGTTCTTTCTCTCCCTTTCGGGCCCTATTGTTATTTTCCTTTCTCTATTGAGTAAAACAAAAATCTTTTCTTGTTTTAAGTAGTACAGGTTTTTTTCTCCTCTTTCAAGCATCGATATCAGCCACCTCCAAGCCAAGGGTACCAGCTACTCTCCAAGGAGACTCATTAAAGAATTCTTTTCCACAATCCTGTATTTTCCTGAACCTGAATCTTGATGATTCAAGGGCTTTGTTTCTCCACAATGAGTGTACTCTGAATTGGTTAAATCACAGTTAGTGATTTGATTAGTTAGCAGAGTTTTCAGGAATTAAGAGATTAAAGCCTTTTACTTCTATGTAGTACAAACCCCTTGGGTTGTTCCTGTGGTTGTAGGTTTTCCATTTCCTCCCAATTGCCTCCCTAAAGCCCAAGTGTGGGCTGTTAAGGTTGACCTTTGAGGAAGATGCTCTTTTCCTTTGTGTCTACTCCATTCCTTTTCAGTTTGTTCTTTTTTTATATCATCCATCTCAGTTTGAGTTCTTAGTCTCAAGAACATGGGTTAGGAGGAAGGTGTTAAGGAGCCCAGAGTTTAAGCTCTGGGTAAATGGTCCCTGTGGTGGTCAGCAGCTGATTGCATTCATTTTTTTCCATGGATCCTCCATGGAACACTCCAAGCAACTACTACCATCAAGTTGGAGTTGGCCACTGACATAAATCTCCTCTACCCCTTGGTTTGGGCTCAAGCTGACAAGCAAGAGAAGCTCTTGCACCCAGGTGGGGTGCAGTCCAGAGGTCAGATGCCAGGGTTTTCACTGGACCACATGAGACCCAATGTCTATAATAATAAGTAGCTGATGACTACTTGTAATAATCAGTACAGAAGACTTGGCAGCTACTCTGTGCATGTCTTTTAGGATCTTGTAGTTGTAATGGGGTGGCAGTTGGCCAAGAACTGTGGACATGCTGGCCATCTCTATTTTTGTTTCCATTGGTGACATTGTAAACATTTCATTTTCTGAGGTAATAGGCTCAAGACAAACTTGTCTAGAGGTACACCTAGAACAATGAGCCCACCAGATGTATACTTAGTGATGTGGTAAGAGCCGGCTGCAAGGCTCTTCCACCTGCCACTACAGGAGATCTGTTTTGATGTGCCGGTTCCTACCAGGCACAGAGTCAAATTTTATTGTCCTCTGGCTGCCAGTTTTCTCCATCTGGAATCAGACAAACTTAATAAATTCCTCCTTTCATTCATCATGAGTTCTCTTTGTAGCCTCTGGTTTGAATTCTTCTTTACAGTAGCAAACACAAACTCTCCATTTTGGGACCTCTTTACATGCTCAAAAAATACTAAAGACCCTAAAGAGCTTTTGTGATGTGAGTTTTATCTAACAATATTTGTTGTGATAGAAATAAAACCGAGCAGTTTAAAAATATTTACTTACAAACTCAGTTAAAAGTAGCAATGACCAGCCAATTCTATATTAACAAAAGCTTTTAATGAGAAATTGCTGTTTTTCTAAAACAAGGCAAGATGGAGTGAAAAGATTGACATTGTTTTACATTTTTGCAAATCTTGTTAAATTCCAACTTAATGGAGACCACCTGGAGTCTCATATTGGCTTCTACGTACAATCTGTTGTACCTTACAGTTTTGACTCAAGGGTATAAAGAAAAGCTGGCCTCATCTAAATATGTGGTTGGAAAAGTGCAGAGGATATGTAGAGCCATTCCAGTAGCTATTCTTCCTTGATTCTTCATCAAAACTTGACAAGTGCTGGCTTCTTAAAGTGGATTGCCATGTTGAATCTGAAGCCATAATCAAAGAATATTTTTTTGATTATACTAAGATCCACTTACCCATTTTTGCACTTTTATTCCTGCATGATTTTATAACAGTGTATATTGGTCAATTTGGAAAATATTGGTTCCCTAAATTTTGTGTCTTTCCCAAATTCATCCATTTCTTTACACATTATTAAAAGTTACATTCATTAATATTACCATCAATCTTTCCAAAAAGTATTTAGATTTTGGAAAGCTGTCAGATTCACATCAGTTAGGTACAAGTTTTCCAAAATTAATTTTTGTTTGAAAGCTCATTATTTAGGACAGGCATGGTGGCACATGTCTATAATCCCAGCTACTTGGGAGATAGAGATAGGTTCAAGGCCAGACTGGGCAAAAGTTAACAAGACTATCTCAAAAATAAGCCAGATAGAGTGGCACATGCCTGTAATCTAAGCTACTCAGGAGGTGGAGATAGGAGAATCACAGTCTGAAGCTGGCCTGGGCAAAAGTATAAAACCCTATCTCAAAAAGAAACTAAAAGCACAAGGGCTGGAGGCATGGCTCAAGTGGCAGAGCATTTGCCCAGCAAGTGCTGGCCCTGATATCAATTCCCAGTACTACCAAAAAAAACAAAAACAAAAACAAAAACAAAAAAAACCCTCATTGCTTATTATTGGCAACAAACATGGGTTATTTTCATTGAAGCAACAGCTTCCTTTCACCATTTTTAAGAAATGTCTGCTGGAGACCTGTCTGTATAACTCTGGCTTGCCTATAGAGTGTTCCTTTAAGTAAATATGGTGCCCTGTGACAAATTTAAGTGCCTACGCAACTTAGAGCAGCTTAGAGTGCTCCCTCAGCTCAGCGCTGTGTTGTAGCATACCACAGGAGAACCCCATGGCACTTTCCATTTTATCATTCTGAAGGATAAAGAGTTAATACAACCTATATAACTCTTCTGCTTCATCAAGGACATTCCTAAAACTGGCATTTTCCTTTCTTCATTTTTCCTTGTCATTTTTAAACTGTGAATATGTGGCTTCGAGGAAAACAAATGCTCCCTGTGCAGATTGGTCCACTGCACAGATTCAAGCTAAAGTACCAGCAGTTTTCGTACCATGAGTGGAAACATCAATACAGTTGAAAAGGCAAATGATGTCTGTTTTGAGTGG